TTTTCATTTGCCAGAAGATGCATATATTTTCCAGAGAGAAAATGAGAAAACACCCCCCAAATGAAATATAGTCATGCTACAATCCCTTCTCAATTTCTCCATCCTATCAGGATTCTGGGTACATACACACAGGTACCTGGTATGTTTATTTCAAGCTATTGGAGCTGGGATTTGAACCATGTTTGGCCATAGGGGATCTGAATCCCTGAACCACTAGGCTACTAGGCTGGCTCTATGACTTTCTAAGTCTATAGATGTATTCTGCTGGCTCATGGACTATACGGGTTATTATGGTGTATACACACACACACACACACACACACACACACACACATTATACTAGGCTCTAGGAATGCAGGTTTCAAGGAGCTATCAATCTCTTCTTCCTACCCTCTTCTCTTAACAAGTATTTAAAATATGAATTAGTTAAAATTTTTCAAAAGAAAAAGTTACCCATAATATGATATATACATATGCCTGATACATTACTAACTATATTTTGGTAGATTTCTTTCCAGACCTTGACTACCTCTCCTCATTTCTGCCCTAGTTGCAATCACAAGTACATAGTATTTGTGTTCTTACAGCATACTAGTTCAGCAAAGTGTGCTTAACCAAGAGGAGTGAAAATCTGGGGCGCTTCCAATCATTGCACAATAAAAGCAGGCAAGGAACAAGCTGGTCTTTGATAACACTGTCCTCTGGGACACAGAACTAGTCTGGTATACTCTCTCTTTTCCCCCCACCCTACCCCCCGCCACACACACTTCCTGATCCTTCAGCATGACAGGAACTCAAGAGGTTCAATGAAGCTAAGCCACAACAGCCTCTGACCTACATGACATTCACTTGGAGGTTGCTTCTGGGTTAGAAAAGCCAGGGGACCCATTTAACAGACATTGCAGCACACAAAGAAAACCAGGATCAAAGGTATGTGGAGCTGCTGCACTGCTTAGTCTGCTGTTGTAAGGACAGGAATGAGATGTTAACAGATAATCAACAACGTGATGACATCTCACCTACCTGATGTTGACTCTTGTGTCTCAGCGTCTACAACTTAGTCCAACTGACAGGAGCACATCTGTGTCTGGCCCTAGTAAGGTCAAGCTTTTTGGAGAAGATTTTTACATCCTTATCTAAGCATAGATGAAGATGGTTCAGACTGGGTCCTGAGATGCTGTTACTAAATACTTGTTTTAGGAACCAGCTGGTTGGTATGATGGTTAAGATGGCTGATTGCACAGTTTGAATCTCAGACTTGGTGGCTTGGAAAATATGCTGGGTGTGTGTGCATGTATGCCCAAAACCCTGAGAGGAGAGTAGAAAAGAAGAGATCGTGGTGTGGCCATTCCCTCCTGGGGTGGGAGTGCTTTCTCACTTTCTCTCTCTCTTTCAAGTCATGTTTCTGCACCTCCCGGGTTATAATTTCCATCATCTTCTTCCAGATTTGGCAGACCTGCTGATGTTGGGCATAAGAGGTCTTCTGTATCTGATTGTGGCATTTTTTAGTAAACCTAGCACAGAAGAGATGAAGCAAATAACTATCGGTTGTCTTGAAATCAACATGAGCTTTAATCATGGTCTGCCAGTTTTTGCCCTGATCATCCTCAGTAATTAATTTGAATTTCCTAAGTCAACTTTGTCATTCTGCTGATCTGCAAGGCTCACTTCAAACACTTGGCTCTTAAGGGCGTCAGACACAATTTTGTTTCCTTGAGTCCTGGTAACTAGTGTTTTCCCAGTATTTCTTATGTTGAACATAACAGGTGCTTTCATGTCATACCAATTTTTTTTAGATAACAGATCAACCATTTTCTCCTTGGCTCCCTTTTTGCCGCCTTTCATAGAGCGCTTAATCTTGCCAACTGCCATGGTGCTACTCAGAGAGCCAAAAGGGCTTTTTCTTTTTTCTTTTTGATAGCTCAACAAAAATCTTAGTAGCAATTTTTTTCACCAGGCACCTTTCTGAGCTTCGAGATGATAGCAATGAATGAAGCAGAAAAAGACTGCTGTCCTCATGGAGTTTACATTCCAATTTGGGAGGCACCATAAAACAAATCCTCACAAATATGTCATATAATGATGATTGATACCAGGCAGTGGCACAACAGTAACACAACTGGACCCATATGGGAAAGGTCATGGGTTTGTATGCCAGGACATCCCTGTACACACTGGGAGCATGTGTGTGTTTGTAATCCAGGCTGGCTGAGACTGGGGGTGAATCGTGATGTGAAGGCCCTGTTGGAGGTGCCTGCCTTTCTGTGTCTCTCTTCTCTATCTCTCATGAAAGTATGTAAACTGTTAAAATTTTTTTTTTGAGAGGTTTTTGCTAAAGGGTGCATGCACTCACCAGAAAGACAGACAGTTAAAGACAGAGAGACAGAAAGCGAGACATCACCCCCAGGGGGAATGGCCACACCACAATACCTTCTCCTCCATCCTCTTGGGATCCTAGTCATGCATGCACACGCACCCAGCATGAGTTTAAGCCACCAAGTCCAGGACTTGAGTCCAGCGACATAACCATTACACCAACTGCTGGTCCCCTGTTAAAAAATTTTTAAATGCTGTTCTTGTGACAGCTTATAGTGTGGTGGTTAAGGTTGCTAGATCCCACATGGCAGAGTGTGGTTCAAGTTCCAGACCTGGCAGTTTGAAAATCTCACCGGATGTGTGTGTGTGTGCCCAAAATCCCGGGAAGAGAATGGAGGAGAAAGGATTGCAGCATGGCCAACCCTCCTGAGGAATGACTTCTTTTCTGTCTTTCTGTCTCTCTTTGGCAAGCACACATATCCCATAGCAAATTCTAAAAAAAATTAACTAAAACAAAATAAAAAGGTTATGATATTCTGACTTGTTCTGGTAATCTTGACTCTTTTGGAGACTAGGATTGTTGGTTTGGGCAAATAACAGCACTGAGGGAAATGGGCCAGAGGGCTAAGCCTCAAAGTCTGAACCACCTGGACTCTTGTCCAGCACTCTCTCTGTCCGGAACAAATAAAAAGACAGTTTGAGCTGCCTGCATTTTTTTGGCATATAGGCAATGCCAATCTAAAGAGTTTGGGCTGGATACTTGCCCTTGATAGAAGTACAAGCCCTTCCCCAAAGGACAGAACTTCCTGCTGTTCCAGTATTTGAAGTTGCCGACCCTGCCTATCCTGCATCTATGGCTGCTACTTCTTTCCAGCTTTACCAGCTGTTTTCCAGAGACCTGATCCCACTGGCCTCTGGTTCGCCTTGTCTGACAGCTGCCTGAACACTGAGACTTAAAAATTAGTTCTGAAGGCCTGACTCTAGCCACCACGTGCTGATCTATTTGTAGGACATTCTTCTTTGGGCTGAGAAAATGTGCTTCTTTTACTGTTTCCAAATGGTTTCCATTCCTATTTAATGCTGACAACTCCTCACATGGGATTGCAAAGCTTAGGGGTTCCAGTTCCTGCTTACAACAAAGAAGAAGATGATGTTTTCACTGAATTCTTCTAGTCAAATAAAAGGTAAGATGTGAAATGATACTAAATTGAAGAAGTGAAGGGCTGGTCCGGTAACATAGTGGTTAAGGGACCCAGATCCCACATTGTCTGCAGCCTCAAACCCGGGTCCAATGGCCTGAAAACAACCTGTGCATGTGTGCCCAAGATCCCGATAAGAGCAGAAGGGATTACAGTGTGACCATGCCCCATTAGGAGGGTACTTTTTCCTTTTCCTTTTTTCTTTTTTTAAAAGAATTATTTTATTAATTATTATTATCTTTAATTAGAGAGAGAGACAGGGAGAGAAAGTGAGAAGGCAAGCAGCTGGGTCCAAGACTTGAACTGCAGTCAGCCATGTGGGAACCCAGAGCCTTAACGACTATGCCACCTGCTGTCCCCTCCTTTTCCCTCTTTTCAGGTTTTCAGTTATTTCTATCAACTGCAGTCTGAAAATATTAAATGGAAAATTTCACAATAAGCAATGCATCCATTTTAAAGTACCTGTTTTGATTATCACACTTGTTTTCATTGTTTATCTCTTACGGTACCTGATACATGAAGTTTATCATAGGTATGTATGTACAGGAAAATATATAGCACAGTATACATAGGGTTTAGTACTCTCCAGGTTTCAGGAGTCCACTAGAAGTCTTGCAAAGTATTCCTGGAGGATTAACAGGTGAGGGTGACAACTGTACCCTGAGCAGAGTAAGCTGAAAGTTACTTTGAGGGTTAGGAGTAGTAAGAATAATTGTCAAAAATTCATGTTCAGGCTCAAAAAAAGAAAAAGCTAAGTATAATTAATTGACCTGAGTTTACTAGTAGAGGGCAGCAGAGTAATAAGAGGGTAAAGGGTTTGTTTGGGAACAAGAAAACCCGGATTCCAAACCCATTTCTGTGGATCTTAGCTGGTTATAAGCTCCTCTTTGAGCCCGAGTTTTCAATTCAGGTAGGTTCGCAACCGGCTTTACGTTTCACATTCTCACAAGACCAAAGATTCTCTAGTCCGTCCAGATTGAAGACAACAGTTTGCAGAACTGTCACACAAGAGAACAGGATGAATCAACATCAGCCACGAAACACCAACTAACCACTCGCAGACACTTCCGGCGACCGGGACTACGGCTGTGAAGTTCCTGGGACCGCACTTCCGGGTAGTGAAGGCTGCGCGTAAGAAGTCTGCGTTCACCAGCCGCGGCCGGGTACCTTGAGAATCGCGACTGCGCATGCTTCCTGCAGGCCCCGAGCACCAGGCGGGGCGGGGCGCGGCACCGGATGGGGCGGGCCGGCATCCTGACTTGTCTCGCGGTGACTGGCTGGCGTGAGCGCGCGAGGCTTGGAGGCGGAGCGGGCTGGGGGCGGAGCCTACTCGCAGTGGGCACCGTGGTCTCCGCCGAGCGTTCCTGTGTTCTAGGGGCTGAGGTCGTCTCAGGTGAGGAGGTTGCGCCGGAAGTGTCTCTGGCAGTGGCGCTGCAGTGTTGTAAGGAGCCTGCGGCGGAGTTTTGTTGTTAAGGGGGCGCGGCACTGCTCGGCTTCCTCCGCCTTCCCTGCAGCAACCATGGCGAAAGGCAGAGTCTCAGAACGATCGCAGGCGGGGGCACTCCATACGACCCCAGTGGGGGACGGGGCGGCGGGGACGCGGGGTCCCGCGACGCCGAGCAACGGAGACCACCTGAAGGGTGAGTAGACCCAAGGACGCCAGTGTGCCGGGATGGCTACAGAGGGGAAGGACCCCGGCAGGCTTCAGGCTTGCGGGAAAACGGGGATTGGCACCTGGGAAGGGGGCGCAGACAGTGGGAGACTTGAGCTTGGGGCCCGTCCCCGCGCAGTAGGTGTGTCCGAAATGCTTGTCTAGAAGGATTCAGTTAAAAGGAATGACACTGGCGAGTTGACGCTCTGGGAGATTGTAAGGTTGATAATTAAAAAGCTAGGCAGAGTTGGAAGCAACTTCAGCATTTGTCGCGTTGTTTTTACATATGAAAAAATTGAGGCCCAGGATAAGTATATGATTTGTACATAGTTGCAAAGCCAGATTGGTAAGGTATTGTAGTAGTTAGGAGAGTAAGGACTAATTCTTAACACCAGGCGGGAAGAACATCTGAGTTTGAACATCTCAGTTCTATCCTTTACTTGTGACCTTGGACTTAGGAACTTTCAGAGGCACTGAACTGTAAAATGGGGATGATAATAGTTATGTATTTAATAGACTGGTGCATGGGTTAAACAAAATAATTTATGCAAAATTTAGCGTAGCGCTTGGTTTTCATAAATGTTAGCAATTGCTATTATAGCTAAGGTCATCTTCTAAAAGGTTTTGCATTTCTCAGGGTTTTAAATATCGTTTTAAGGAAAAAAGTGAAGCTGGAAACTAAACATGTACTTTAATTTTAATTCCATCTTGGCAAAGAATTGTTCACTGTTTTTCAGCCGTTGAAGTGATTAAGCTCTTTAAATGCTTTTAAAGTTCCATACACTTGAAGTGATCCTAACCAATGTCCATTAAATTGTTTTTAGCTCGGTCACACTGGTATGTTCCACTGTAAATAATGACTAAGGAGAAGATCCTTTGAGAGTGTTTAGAAAAAAAAAATTAATGTGTTTTCAAACAATTTTATGTCTCCAACAATCTAATTTGGCTCTTTAAGCTTTATATATTTAGGTATTTTTTTTTTCCCACTTATAGGCAGTGGAACTAAGTAATTTTATATAACTTCCAAAACTCAGAAATGCAACCCTGTCAAAGTATAAATCTTCTCTAAATTAAAGGGACATTGTTTCGAAGACTACTACTGAGAGCGACCTTAGTCCAAGATTTGGGTTTCCTGGAAGTGTTCTCTAGATGGGGCATCTCTACAGATTGTTGTTTTGGTTTGAGGTAGCAGTCAGTCTTACTTTAAAAAAATAAATAAAATGAAACCTGCAAGCTCCAAAGTGATTTTATGATCTTATTTTGTCATTAAAACAGTACATTTAATAGTAATTTTTTTTATGATGTTGTTTATGTCTTCTGCAGACTACAAATCTGTAGGAAGACAGAAGAAAGAAATGTCAAGGTAGATAAGCCTTAGAGGAGTAGGGTATGCATAAATGGAGCAAAGGGAAGGGACTTCCAGGCTAGGGGGAAACAGAATAGGCTTGGGTGAATCTTATAAATAGTTAGTGTGAACCTTTCATGTATCAATTATCAGATTAATTTTGCAGGTCTAGAGGTGGTCTAGGAGATAAGGGTGACCTGTTCAGATTGTTGTCAGATTATAGAGGGCTTTAAGTGCTAGACAAAAGAAGTATTTTTTGATTCATACTTTTTTTTTAAAGAATTGTTTTATTTAACTTTATTTATTTATTTTTATCTGACCAGAGAGGTACAGAGTGAAAGAGAGAGAAGGAAGAAGCAAGAAAGCAAGTTGCCAGGTCTGAGACTTAAGCTGTGGTCAGCCACATGGGAGTCCAGTGCCCATAATCACTACACCACCTGCTGGTCTCCCCCCCCCCCTTTTTTTAAAAAGAGAGATTTTTGCTATAGGGTGCATGTGCTCACTAGAGAGACAGAAAGTGGGAAATCACCCCTCCAGAGGATGGCCATACCACAGTCCCTTTTCTTCCAGTCTCTTCTTGGGATTTTGGGCACTTGTATACACGTGCCTGCCATGAGTTTGAAGCTGCTGGGTCTTGAACCATAGTCGGCCATGGGGGAGTCCAGTGATATAACAATTATACCATCTGCTGGTTCCAATCTATACTATTTATCAATGATTTTCAGTTTTCTCTTTTCTTCTTTTCTCCCTCCCACCCATTGTCTCTCTATTTCTTTAATTGCCAGAGAGTGGGTGCATGCCCCAGAAAGAGTCAGAAATAGAGGAAGAAGGCACCCTTCAGTGGGATTTGTTTATGGTTGTAATCCTTTTGCCAACATTTCTCCATCCTGTCAGGATTTGGAGCATACACACACACGTGCCTGTCCTGGTTTTCAAGCCAGTAGGGCTGGGATCTGAACCGTGCAATCAGACATGTGGAATTTGGCTCCTTTAGTTACCTGGCCATGGGACCTCCCTTTTTTTCTTTCTCTATTTTTTTTGGAGAGGTTTTTTTTTTTTTGCTATTGGGCGCGTGTGCTTGCCAGACAGACAGAGACAGAGAGACAGAAGGGAAGAAATCACCCCCCAGGGAGGATGGTCACGCCGCAGTCCCTTCTCCTCCATTCTCCTCTCGGGATCTTGGGCACACACGCACACGCGCCCGGCGTGAGTTTTAAGCCACCGGGTCCGGGACTCGAACCGCGGTCGACTACATGGGAGTCCAGCGACACAGCCATTACGCTAACTGCTGGGTCCCTGTTTTTTCTTTCTCTTTAATTAATGTTAGGAATTCTCAACATAAGCAAGAGATTTTGTGGACCTCTTGCATGATAGATTTGGTTTACTTGGAGGTCCTAAGCTGCTGATGTAAGGGAAGTAATAACTGTAGTATTAGCAACCTATTTGCCAGCATTTGAGAAAAGAAAATCTTTATTAATTGTATTCAATAAAAGGAAAGGTTTTGGAAAAATAAAAATTTTAGTAACCCTATAGTGTTACTATAAATTCCATGACACTGTAAATGAATTTTCATTATGTGACACACCTACATAACTTTGACAAAAAGTTATCATCATGTACATGTGCATTTTTTAAAAAAGAATTATTTATTTAATTTTATTTATTCGTTTATTATTGTATTTTTTAATTTGATCAAAGCAAGATACAGAGAGAGAGAGAGAGAGAGAGAGAGAGAGAGAGAGAGAGAGAAAGTAAGAAAGGAAGCCACCAGGTCCGGGGCTTGAACAGTAGTTGGCCATGTGGGAGTGTCCAGCATCCCAACCACCACGCCACCTGCTGGCCCCTCATTGTGTGCATTACAAAATATATATATTTTCAGTTTTATCAGAGAGAGACAGAGAGAGGGAGGGAAATTGAGAAAGCAAGTCACCAGGTCTTATACTAGAACTCCCATCAGCAATGTGGGAGTCTAGTACCTTAACCACTACACCACCTGCCGGCCCCAATTTTCTTTTAGGTTTTTGCCATAGGGCATGTACCCTAGCCAGAGAGAGGTGGAAAGTGAAAAATCACCCCAGAATGGATGGCCATGCCATAATCCCTTTTCCATTCTCCTCCTGTCATTTTGGGCATACATGCACACATACGGATGTGATTTTTCAGGCCCACACCACCTGCCAGTCCTATACTGTTACCATTTTTAATTAATAATTTTTTAAAAATGGAAAGCTCTTGAAATAAAGTTTACTGGGACCAACAGTTGGCATAATGGCTATGTTGCTAGAATCCCATGTAGTTGACTGCGGTTCAAGTCCTGGACCCGGTGCCTTAAACTCATGCCGGGCGCATGTGCCTGTGTGCCCAAGATCCTGAGAGGAGAAGGGATTGCAGCATGGCCATCCTCCCCAGGGAGTGATTTCTCACTTTCTGTCTTTCTGTCTCTCTCTGTCTTTCTGGTGAGCGCAAACGCCCTATAGCAAAAACCTCTCCCAAAATAAAGAAAGTTAGTTTACTTAGGACAATATTACAGTGGATTCTTGTGATCTTAAAAGACTTAATGGCCTGTAAGTTTATGTTCTCAGAAGAGATGGGTCTTTTCCTTTCTTTAGGGTGGAATTAAGTAGAGCTAGAAAAAAAATCTGTAAACTAGCAGATTATAAGACTAGTAAGAGTCATTCCTGGAACCTGCAGATGACGTAATAGTTATGTCGCTCAACTTGCACTTAGTCAACCGTGGTTCAAATCCCAGACCCATCAGCTTAAAACTTATCCCTGGTGCAGGGCTGACAGGTGGCATGATGGGACGCTGGACTCCCACATGGTTGACCACGGTTTGAGTCCTGGACCTGGTGGCTTTCTTGCTCTTTCTCTCTCTCTCCCTGTCCCTCTCTGGTCAAATTAAAATAAATCAATAAAGTTAAATAAAATAATTATTTTTTAAAAAAATGTTTAAAACTCATACTGGGTGCATGTGCATGTATGCCCCAAATCCCCAGAGGACAGTGGAGGAGAAGGATTTGTGGTGTCGCCATCTCCCTGGGGGGGGGTACTTTTTCACTTTTGTTCTCTCTCTCTTGTCTCCCTCCCTCTCTTTTGGTCTCTCTGGTGAGTATGCACACCCCGTAACAAATTAAAAACCAAAAAACAGATATCATTCCTGAAGTCTTTGTAGATAAAGGAAGATTTTGCTTTTTAAAAGGTTTTGATATGAAAGTAGTGAGAAAATTAAGCTACTTGAGGGACATTAAAGTTAAACGATGGTTTTTCACATGGATGTGTACATATTAGAAGTTAGATAAAAGGTGCTTGGAAAGGGAGCAAAGGAAGATCATTTCATGGACAGATCCTGAAATAGAGGTAGGAAAGCTCACTAATGAAGGAGGTAGTGTCATTGCTTGGGTAGAGGAAGGTAAAATCACAGGCTTGAAGATTTGAAGTAATAGCCCTGTGGAGAGTGCTGTGAAAGGATTCCTGTTTGTCAGTGATAACCCTAGTCGATGTTGGGAAAGCACGAGCACTTGTAGGCTCAGGAAGCGTTCTCACTTTATCTGTCGGTACTTTTGGTCTAGGAGGAGGTTGGAAAAGAAGACAATGGGATAATTCAAACTGGGAATGAATATGATGGAACTAGTTGGAGGTTAATG